CAGAATCGTCGAAATGTTGTATACTCTACTCTCGTGAAGTCATTTTGGTTCAAAATAAAGGAAAACATAAAGGATACTTTAATGTGTTTTTGAGCAAAATAAAACAAGCAACTTTAAGCCCTTGTTCATGAATATTAATTTACCTTCAAGTTCGAAATATATCGGAAGCAGAATGGATTATTATTGACTAATTGGTTCCGAATTTTGGCATTCATTGCATTAATATATGTTTGATAAACTGCCATACACTTTCTGGCGAGTTGACTAGCGTAGTAAATAGGAATGTCATGAAGCTCAGGGTGATTAGACCAATATTCATCCAAAATCAGCATTAGCTCTTGCGCACGACCCAAGGCAAATGCAGGAATAAGACACCGACCACCTCTAGTTACAATATCATGAACGAGTTGAGTGAACCGCGCCTCCCTGTCTTCTCTTTTGTCATGAATATGAATGCCGTAAGTAGATTCTGTGATAAGTACATCCGGTCGAATAGGAGGAACTTCTGCACACATTAAATGTCTGTCTTCTTGTCGACTAAAGTCGCCCGTATATAAAACCTACATACATTCTGTTGGAAGAAAAACTAAATAGGTACCTTGACACCAGCTATCTCAATAAGAAACATGGCAGCACCTAATACATGACCAGCATGGTAAGCTGAAAACTTGATTCCATTCACTTCCAATTCTTGGTGGAAATCAATTGTATCAATCCATTCTAAACTAGTGACGATGTCGCGTTCCGTATACAAAGAATGTTCGGCGGAAACACCGCAATTGCTTGGGATGCAATGAATATGACAGATTCTAACCTTATACGCACATAATCGGCTAACAAGTACCGATAAATTGCCTTAGAAGCGTGAGTCATATAGCATTTAGCTCTAACCCCAGTTTTAAGCAAAAGATATGGAAGAGCACCACAATGATCTAAATGAAAGCTTTTGTAATAAGAAAGAGATATCCATACTGGCTAATAAGTACAAGATCGGTTGAATGTATGTCAGGAATAGAATCAATAAACGGAAGGCTTTCTTTATTACGGAGGCCTGGATGAATTCCACAATCCAGCTATACTAAGTTAGAAATTGGACTTACTATAATCTTTTTCCCTTTAAAGGTAAGAAGGATACATGATCTTCCTACCTCCTGACCTGCACCTCTGATAAAAATTTAATTAGGAATAGAATATTACAAAGGCATAATAGTAAGACGATCATCCTCGTCGTAGGTCACATCCATTGCAGCGCAACTGCATAAATAATGCGTAAAACCCGCCAATAAACAACAGTCTAAAGTGACTTTGCAAGCTATTTATTCTAATAACTTTTAAAAATGATGACATTAAAAAATATTTGAAAAATTTAGGGTATAAAGTATTGTGGCGGGTTGATTGAAGTGGAGGCATGAAACTCTTCCTGCATAATTTGCTCACTTCTCGGGTGCTTAAGGCTGTGAAGATTGGATACCCCCTTAAGTTAAAGGTTTGTTATTACTCTAAATTAAAAAAAGACTTTTTGAAATTGACAACCTTCGGTTGGTCTTTAATAGTTATCAATGTATCTTGATTTAATTTGCAAATTGCCCAATAATTAGAGGCAGTGGTTTGACCACAGAACATATTACTTTTTTAAGTAAATTCTTCTATAAACACTTGCTAAATTACTTAAGTATATATGTATTAAATCAGGAGACTGCTCGTAGCGATTCTGGTGCACTTGTGTCGATAATTCAATAGAGCTACTCGCAATTTTTGTAATTAACTATCTGATACTATGGATTTCTAATGTGCTAAAAATGATATTATTGTTGCTTAAATAAGCCTTCGCAAACAGTGGCATTTCATGGAGTGGACCGCTGGTGCGAACAGTAATTACTACTGACCATGCCTTATTTATATTAATGTGGCTAATATATGTATGCACATAGTATGGAGTTTTTTTTTAGTCCTTAAAATTTCGCCATGATGGTCTGCAATAACTTACTGGATTTATTTTAGATTGCTTGCATACTTTGGTTACTTTAATTAGAAACTTATCATGATACAACTCTTTAATTCAAACATATTTAGCCGCATAAACTTGGCGTTTGTTATTTTAAACTATTCATATTTTATTATGATACATTTTACTACCTACGCTATTAGGTTGAGGAAATCAAGATGTTGGAGATCGATTTTCAGCCGGAATACATTGCTCGCTTGATCCCAAAGGTAGAATGGTTTGCACTCAAGGCCGCTGTCTCACAGGTATTTTGCACTATTCAAGGCTTTAACATTTCTTTTTAGTTGGGCGAATCTTATGCCTTTAACCTCCCCTCAGAAGTGCCTCAGGACTATGAACAAAATCAGGAATTTCTCAAGCTTGCACACAAGGCACTTCTCGAGATTGACATAATCAAAGGATCCCTGATTTGCCCCGAGACGGACCGGGAGTTTCCA